GGCCATTCTAGCTGTGAGTTGAAGCCGACCAAAGGGGACGTTGCTGGGGCCAAGTCCTTGTCTTCCAACTTCATTTGTTTAAACGCGTCATAATACATAATTTCTACGAAACTCCCCTGGTCGATCAAGATTCTCTTGATGTCAAAGTCTTTGACGCGAAGAGTGACTACTAAAGCATCATTGTGCGGCATCTGAACTCTTTCCAAGTCTTTGGTCGAGAATGAAAGGATGTCCCTTTCTTCGGTCTTTCCCTTCTTCACAGCGGGCTGAACAGAGAGCACTTCCCTCATGTGCTCGGCCTTCTTGATCATCCCTCTCAGCTCCCAGACCCTGGCCGGTTCAATGATACCGTGGATGACGTTGATTACACCTTGCGGGGACGCTTCTAGGGCGGCCAGGCCGTTTGGCTTGGCTCGGTCCGCTGGCGTGGCCTTGATGCCCCCATCTATGTATTGGTCAAGATGCCCCGCCGCCACCAACTCCTCTAAGTGTTGTTTGAGCGGCAAGCAGTCCTCTGTTCGGTGCCCCCGTTCTTCATGAAAGGTGCAACGATATTTTGAATTGAAGCCCCTCTGCGCACTCCCCAACTTGGCCGGCTAATGGACGAAGGGTTCACCTCGAATCTCGCTCAAAATGCAGTAGATGGGGATTTTAAATACCGTGGTGATCCCAGTCCGCGCCTTTAATTTTCTTTTGGCATCCTCCGCTGCATCACGGGGAGGGTCAGCCCGGTCGTTTCGGCGGCCCTTGTTTCTGTCATCACGGTTTGAACCATGGCGCTGGTCTTTCAACCGGTTGTTTGGGCGGTTATGCTCCTGCCCAACCGAGTGAACTTTCCTCGCAACCCTTCTGTCCGCCGCGACCGGATTAGCCTTCTCGGTCGCGGAGGCGGCATCATCCTCCACACGAATGTGCTCATTGATCCGTTGCATCAATGACTCCATGGTTGTGGGTTGATGCATCGTGAGTGAATCTCGCAGCCTATGTCCGACTGGGAGACCCCGTTTGTACTAAGTGATCGCCAGATTGGTGGGGCAGTCGAGGATCTCATTGTAAGTTTCCCAGTATTTCGCATTGTATGCCTTCAACGAACATCCAGACTCCATCTTGACGCCCAGGAGATGGTCGACCTCCTTCGGCGTTCGTGTGTTGGTTTTGAATCTGGTGACGAAGGCTTCCGCTAGTTGCTGCCACCCCTCAATACTCCCCTCCGGGAGCCTTTTGAACCACTTCAAACCCAGCTCTCCCAAGCTTGCCGGGAATATGAGGCACATCAAGGCGTCGTTGCACCGGTGGCCAGCCATCACTTGCCGGTAATGGCTCACATGCATGTACGGATCCGTCTTGCCGTCGTACAAAGTGAACTTTGGTTGGTGGAATCCGGCGGGGAGTGGTGTACTCTCAATCTCTGGAGACAGCGGCGTGGCTGTAAGTCGCACCAGCTCTTTGTCCACCAGCGCAAGGGCTATTACTTTGGGGGCCGGCATCGCCACTTCCTCACCACAACGAACTGGAGCGCTTAACCTCTGCAATGTCGGCACTCTCCGAGCCTTCCGACGGCGCGCCCTTTCCTCCAATACATCCCTCAAGTCCCTAGAACGTATGGAGAAAGAGGATCCCGACGTCAGCGTCGGGCGTGAGGGGCGGTAAGTGCTGTCGCGAGAGAGGGACCTACCCTCTCCTTGGTCGGAATCTCCAACCCCATAGTTCCTGGTGATGGAAAGAAAGTGAGTCCTCCCCTGGCGACGACTGCTACAACGAGGGGACGGGGTGCGCTCACTGAGGTTGCCCTCTCCAGCAACACCCTTCCCTTTAATCTGGCGTTTCAGCAGCTCCATCTCCGCCGCCATCTTGCGAATGACGGCGTCTTGGTCCTTGAGTTTGTGCTCCAGGCGCTGCGCATGGGACTCCCCCCAGTGTCGGCGGCCCTCAGGACTCTACGAGCGATCAGTACTCCTCCCGCGTTTGTCTCGCGCACCTCGCGAAAGAGTCTCTAGGCCCGCCATGGCTGGAATATTTGGAGGACCTTCTCTCAAGCGGACGTACTCAGGTGTGACGCCATCGACGACGGACAGTGAGGCTTCGCCGTTGTTGGCCATAGAAATGGTCGAAGAAGCTCAAAGAACAAGGGTTGAGTATCAAAGATTTCCCACAGACGGCGCCAATTGTACGGGAGCGAAATATCCTCTGCTTTCCGTACTCCTTGTACTCCAAGCTTCTCTTGACGGCGTCTACCTGGCAACACAGAAACGGTGAGCTACCCGGCGGTGGTGTGCCGGATAGACCCTCCGACGATCAAGTCAGTCCACTTGAAGAAGAAGACTGTCAGAGAGAGAGTATTCTTTTTGGGAAAGAAATTGCATACCTCTAACGTTCGTCTTCCACCATATTTCTAGGCTAGCCATACAGCCTCAAGATTGCGTGCGCACTACCTCTGCTGTCCTTCCCTGGACAGGTGGCAGTGCTCGCCTCCCACCACCTTACGCGTGTAAAGGCTTAGTCCTTCCACCAGTACACGCAGAACTGTCTAACGGCATTGAGGCATGCATGGAGAAGATGTCCTCTCCCTCGCGCCATTGGCCCAGGTGGCACACCTAACCGTAGTACCACGACTGGCCTATCTCCTGCGAAGAACTGTCACTACAGGCACTCAACCGAGCTATGCCCCATCGGACTACCCCTTGGCAAAGGGGCAGAGGGGTGATGCTCATGGGCTGGGCTGGCATTGACCGGTTTATCGTGGCATACCGGTCGCGAGGCATGCTGGCCTCCGTCCATTCTACCTTCATCCGAGGTTATCTGGAATCTGCCCATCTCGGCTAACCGGTCAGAGACGTGCCATCCCTCACTTGTCCATAGTTTAGCCCGAGCTACCCGTAGCCCGGTCTCGCCACTTGGCTGTGTGCCCTACCAAACGTTTGCTAGTCGCAGCTCGGCCAGGCTTAGTTCACGCCCGGTCAGCCGATCTTTTCGACCGAGCAAAACAGACCCACCGGCCCTCTCAGTAGAGGAAATAGCACGGCGCCGTGAGGTCTGTCACGACCCGCCCTATCTTAGCTCGGCCGTACTAACGGCGCAAATCTCCCATCTCAATCACCATGGAGTCAAATTCAACTACATTAGTAGATTCTATGTGAAGCTCGATTTTGCAATGTAAATATATATAGATAATGTGTGTTAAAAAGAAGTCATGTTTTGAATACATTAGTTAATTTTATTTTTTCTCCAAAATTAAACTGAACTTTTTTTTTTTTTTCCCGATCTGCCTATCATGTGGAGCAACTGCAAGAGTGTTCTTCATTGATAGTTTGAACATACACCAAAACTTCAGAGAATCAAAAGAAATAAATAGAAAGTCAGGAAAAGTGGCACTAGTTTATAGGAAAGAACATTGTTGAATATGAATTGAATTGAAGAATACAAGGCTGCAAGCCATAGAACACAACACTCTTGTAATTATTATTCTCATTTGAAAGGAAACATTGGTGCCTCACTACCTAATTACAGAACACGTCAGACAACCATGTTCACTTTCTTTTCTTAGCCTTGAGTACAAGTTTTTTTCTCTCTTAGTCTTGAGTATATATATATATTTTCTTTTTTTTTTTGTGGCAAAGTTTGACCCTTTTGGAGTTGGTGTTTGGATTATACCTCATTGCTCCGGCCTCTACTTCGTTGACTTTTCAACTTTTCTTTTTGTGTAACTTTTAGTAGGGGAAAGAAAAACTCAGTTGCCTACAATACATCGTTGAAATATACTCTGAAGTACAAAAACTTACTCCGAATTTTATATCAAAACAAGTTGTAAAGTGTAGATTTAAAATTAATGAGACGTGGGCCACACTTAAAATGATTGTGATTTAGAGAAGTGCTTTTCTAGATAATTTTTCTAAATTTTTAGTATTGTCGATACATTGTCTACTTGTTATTATTACTCTATTCTTTGTTCTAATTCTACTTTATAGTTGCTGTTGCTGCCACTTTCTGTATCAAGAATTAGCCTCTCTTTTTATTTATTCTGCCCTTTTTTCTTTTTTCTTTTTTTGAATTTTGATTTTTTTTGATACAGTTGTTCTACATATACAAAATTTGAATACAACCCTTTCACATAGGATAGAACCCACACATTTTAATAAGTCTCACTGCATGTGAGAAGGTTTGTGTGCATTTAGAATTTTTATGTATATCCTATAAGCAATTTGTTTAGTGTTGATGCTAATTATTAGCAGGATTTGCCTTCTCTAGTTTTTAATTAAGATTTTCTTCAAAAAGTTTGTGATCTCAGTTTGTGACAATCCTTATAAAGCCCACTGTTTCTGTTTTATTTTTATTTTTTATGTGGAAAATTTAAATCTATTGGAAGTGGTGCTTGGATTGTACTTCATTACCCTCGGCTCTAATTAAGAAAAAAGAAAAGAAAGATGTCAGTTGCCTGCATTTACTTTTGCTAGTTAACTTTACTGTGCTAATTACACTTTATAGCTCCTTTGACTCCTAGCATCAAATGTTAGCCTCTCTTTTTCTTTATTATGCCTATCTGACACTCAAGTGGTTGTCATTACGAGGCCTATCACCTCCTAGATGAAATGTGTTAAAGTTTGTTATGCATTTATACATACTCGATTTTATTTCAGCATTTTGATTTCTTAAGTTTCCTTTGCAATAAAAAATCCAATTTTGAAAATTTTGAACATGTATATGTCGCAGTGGTTCAACAACAATACTCAATTTTTTTGTCTTTAGAAAGAAATTAACTTAAAAGCATCGATGTATTTTTTTAAAAAAAAAATGTTGAATGAAGGCAACAATCAACTGTACTATATAATACAGAAAAATGTACGTACACAGAAATTCGAGAGAGAGACAAGAACGTGGCCCATCTTTAAAGTGACACATTAATTCAAGAATAATTCTACATCAGAATTTTGCAGCGCATTTTCATACCTATCAGTAGTTTGTGATGACTTTCCTTGTGATTCGTGAACATAAACATAGGAAAGCCTAACCAAAAAATCAACTGTGTCTTCAAGTACCACTTGAGTGTCTGTCTGTCTACCATTAGTTTCTTCTAGCAGATTGAGATACATACCAAATGAATGATGGATCACCTTAAACCAAAAGATCCATCAATGGCTTGCTATTTTCTACTGAATATTATGATCATCCTGTCCTCTTCTCTCTTTCCTGTTTGTGCTAGTGAAGACATTTTGAGAGCAGGCGAATCAATCAACACTAACCAAACCTTAACTTCAGCTGGTGGAAATTTTGCGTTAGGCTTCTTCAGTCCAGGCAATTCCACCAACAGATACATTGGCATATGGTACAAAACAATCTCCAAACAAACAGTCATATGGGTTGCTAACAGAGAAAACCCTCTTGCCCAGAATTCTACAGCGGTTTTCAGGCTCGGTGATGATGGGAATCTTGTGATTTTTGATGGAAGAGGACAGGTAGTCTGGTCAACAAATGCAACAATTCTCAATTTGGCCATTAACTCCACAGTTGCACAGCTTTCAGATAATGGAAATCTCGTTCTGAGACTTGGTGACGACACTCTATTATGGCAGAGTTTTGATAATCCAACTGATAGATTCCTGCCTGGCATGAAAGTCAGGTTGAATCGGAAAACTGGACAGCGAAGCCCTCTATACTCATGGGTAGACAATGAAGATCCTCGACGAGGAATGTTTTCAGTAGGCATAGATCCTGAAGGGCATCCACAGATTTTCATTTGGAAGCAAAACCAGACATATTGGAGAAGCACAGTATATGACTAGTTTTTCTTATATTGGATACAAATCTCAAGGTTTTGCCTCTTTTTTTACTTTTGTAGTAGAAGGTGATGAAATTTATCTCGGTTGCAGTGTCCCTGAAAGTTCGAATAAAATAAGAGGCATGCTAACTCCTAGTGGGCAAGCTCAGGTCCTTTTATGGGAACAAAGTGACAATTCATGGGTAGTTGCATGGAAGTTGCCAGTAGTTGAGTCCAAATGTGATTTTTATGGCCAGTGTGCTCCATTTAGTAGCTGTGAACAAAATGGTTTGCATCCATTTTGTTGTTCTTTTTGTTAGGATTAGGGCACGCCTAAAATCAATCACATACAGAAAAGAGACAAGATATTTACATGGTTCGGCAATTGCCTATGTCTACGGAGAGAGATTACCACTATAGAACCGAAGGGAGATTACAGAACTCATACTCACTTCCTCTCTATAGATTTACACACTCTCTCTGATTCTCTCTTACATTGTCTGTGTTGTTATTTCCCTTCCTCCTTACCTTAATTTATACAGAAAAGAGAAGGAAACAAAGTCTATAAAAGGAAATTATTGGGCTGCCCTCTTCCCTCTTCCCACTTCGCTCTTACTTCTTGACTTGGGGAGCCACCTATTGATGACTCCTCCATGTGGGCTGGAGCTAACAATTCTCCTCCTCCACGCCCATATGGATGACTAACTTCTCACTTGAAGTCCATCCAGGTTAGATTTTTGCAAACTTCCAGTTTGTCTTTGGTGACAACCTTGGTTATCATATTAGAAGGATTCTTGTCTGTGTGAATCTTCACCAGCTTCATCAACTGCTTTTTTATCACTTCTCGTATCCAATGATACCGGACATCAATGTGCTTTGTACGTGAATGGTACATGGAATTCTTGCTTAGATCAATTGCACTCTAACTATCACAATATACCTTGTATTCTTCCTGCTGTAGACCCAATTCTTGGAGAAACCTCTTTAATCACAACATTTCCTTTCCAACATCTACGACAGCAATGTACTCTGCCTCTGTTGTAGACAAAGCAACACTTTTGCAGTTTGGATTGCCATGAAACAGCTCCCCCTACAAAGGTGAACAGAAATCTTGACGTAGACTTTCTACCATCAAGATCACTTTCCATATCGGCATCTGTAAAACCCTCCAAAATTGGTTCAGCGCCCCCGAAACATAAACACATCTTTGAAGTTCCCTTCAAGTACCAAAGAATCCATTTGACCATCTCCCAATGCTCCTTTCTTGGATTGGCGAGGAATCTGCTCACAACGCCAACTGCATAAGCTATATTTGGTCGGGTACACACCATTGCATATATCAAACTTCCTACTGCAGAAGAATAAGGGATTTCCTCCATCTCTTTCCTTTCAGAGCTGGTCGTGGGACACGAACGCTTTATCACTTTGAAATGGTTGGGCAGTGGTGTGTTGATTGGCTTGGCATCTTTCATGTTGAACCTTTCAATCACCTGTTCAACATATTTCTCCTACGACAGCCATATCTTCTTGGCTTTCCTGCCACGAACAATTTTCATGCCCAAAATCTACTGTGTTGGGCCTAAATTCTTCATGTCAAAATGCTGCGACAAGTTCTTTTTCAACTTGTTGATCATAGCAATATCATGTCCGATGATCAACATATCATCAACATACAACAGCAGGATGATGGAGTTTCCATCTGAAAACCTTCAGAAATATACACACTAGTCTGCTACTATTCTTGTGTACTCGTGATCCACCATAAATGAATCAAACTTCTTGTACCATTGTTTGTACGAAAACACTTTAACTTCTTCTCGGTCTCTCTTTCCACCATTGCATGGAACTCTTGAAAGTGCTGGAATACCTCATCATTTGCCATCAGGAAATACACCCACAACTTCCTTGATGTATCATCAATGAAAGTCAGAAAATACTTGCGACCACCAAGTGACTCCACTTCGATTGGGCCACAAACATCCGAGTATACCATACTAAAAGCACTTTGTTTCCTCCTTGCCGTCTGAAGAATAATACTCGATGCGCTTTCCATGAAAGGAAGATCACAGGTACGGCAGCAGGGCACCTTTGGATAAGGGTATCCGGGAGTGCTTTGCCCAAAAACCGCTCAATCCCCTCACTACAGGCGTCAGTCTTCTTGCATAAGGCGCAATGACTCTCTCTCTGTTGCCATTAAGACTTCCAAACAGATCTTTGTTAAGTCTGTACATTTGAAGCAGCCCTCGGTATGTCAAAAGCCTCCTCTGCCTCCAACGACCATTCCTCCCGAATGTATTGTTAGCCCGTCGAGCCACGGGCACTTCCAAGATAAGATGATGCAAATGGAACAGCCTCACTGTGAAGACCAAACTTGTGTCCGGACACTAAAAGAGTCTGAACTAATTGCTCCAATACCCCATCGACATACTAGAACCCTTTCCTGATTCCGCTACACTGTCCGTGTATTGTCTTCCTCTCACCAGCTCACTGATACAGAAAAGAGAAGGAAACAACAGCATAAAGCAATTAGATCACGCCTTTTCCTCTTCACGCCCTATAACTCTGACTTGGAGAGCAAACCCAATGTGAGACTCCATTGGCCTGGAGTAAACACTATACACAACACACACAAAATTTCTTTGGACAAAGTCAATGGCCATTTAACGCTTAAATTACTACGTTCCCACAAGAACAGCTAATAATCCTTCGTCATCCGTTTTGACCTTATCTCCATGATCCCAACTTACCAGTTAAGTACCAAAAAAGGAAATAATCCAGTGAAACCACCCCAAATCCATGGTATGCGTGAGTTTGCTTCTGATGCTCGTCCTAACACATGAAACTGAGATCTGCTGCAAGTCATCCGCTGGAAGCCACTTACAAATTTCTTTGCTCGCACGTGTGTTGGTGTTTGTTGCTTGCTGGATTCTCAGCCAACTCTTATTGCCAACTCACTTGTCCTCTCTGCCTCTCTCGTATGTCTTCTCAGTGAAGTTTTTGAGCTGCCGTCGACTTCACAAGCGTGGAATTGGGCATCAGATAAAATGGGCAGAGTCCATGATCTCCACCTCCGCTACAACATTCTTTTTCCAACACAGACTACACTCAGCGTCGCTGATCAATTAAAAAATAAACAACAGTGACGATCTTGACAAACATCAGCAATCAATGGTCACACATTTTGGTAAAAAATCAATGTGCCTCGTGGATATCAGGGCGTTTAATTTTTTACTAGTATGTAATGGATTAAAAAAGTCGTTTGCAATGGAATTTCTTTGACTTTTATGACTTTTGTGAGAGAACAAATAAAAATATTAAGTTTAGACTGAACATTTGTCGCGATTAAACAAAAAATCTATTCGTCTTTTGTGACAAAAACTAACCCAACTCCAACTTAGA